GTTGTTGTTTTTGCTTGGGTTTTCTTTTTTCTTTTTTTTTTTTTTTTTAGACGGGGTTTCTCTGAGTAGCCCTGACTATTCTGGAACTGACTTTGTAGACCAGGCTGGCACTGAACTCAGAGATCTGCCTGCCTTTGCCTCCTGAGAGCTGGGATTAAAGGCGTGCGCTACCACAACAGGGCTTGGAACACAGTTGTGAATCAGGTTACCCTGAAGACCACTTGCTGAGACTCCAGCTGCCTGTCCACAGCCTACCACGTGGGGAAACAGGTACCTACCTGTCCCTTGCAGCCTGGCTGTGGAGACCCAATTTAGTCTGCCCACCTCTCATCCTCCCCAACCTCAGGTTGCAGCAGGCACACAGGCCCAGGAAGGAGCAGAAGCCAGCCCTGTTGTGGCAGGAATGGAGACCCAAGCCTGCCAGAATGGCAAGTCTATAGGACCAACCATGTAGCCAGCCCCAGCCCCAGCTCACCTCATACACACACCCTTATTCTGGTCTCAGGGAGCCCTAATATGGCCCCACTCCCACAAGTCAGGATCTCAACGAACTAAGACACAGCAGCTAGGTGAGTGTGGCCTGGTCCTGGAGTGACACCAGAGTCCCTAGGCCCTGTTCACCTTAGGGTGACTTGCTCATCACCTAGAAAGAGCCTGATCTACCCTCCTGCTTGAACAGGAGCCTGGAGGCTTATAAGGGTTCAGAGCTGGCAGTCTGGGTTCAGCCACTGATCCCCTGACCTGAAGGTGGTCACCAGAACGTAGGTATCTCAGGAATGTCCATTTCTACCAGACTTCCTCCACATTCCTGTGCCCCTCCCATCTCCACCAGGAATTCCTCAGAGTAAACAAGAGGGTGCCTTTGAGAGGGCACCAGGGGCCCCAAAGCAGGTTGGCCACGCCTCCCTGTACACACTCAGCACTTTTCCCCTGCCGACTCTGGTATGGCCTTTGGTGGTGTCCCTTTCAGTCCCCACTTTCCATGTCCATCCAGGGACACTGAAGCACAAAGATGCCCACCACTAGGCCTTTGCCTGTGCTGACCCTGCTCCCAGCAGCCCTGCCCAAGGCCATCTCCCTGGATGGTGACCTCACCCATTGTCTTGTGCCCAAGGCAAGCTTTGTGGCTGAAGCCGCATAGACAAAAATGAACCCTACCTGGCCCAGGTCCAGTGTGACGTTGACCTCATTGTACTCCAGGCCACGGGACAGGGGTGGGCTCTGCCACCAGCGCTCTGTGCCATCGATGGCGTTGCTCACAGGGTGGGCCTTGTTGCTGTTGGCAGCTGTACAGATGTCACAGTACTGGCCCTGCAGGAAGAAGATGGCCAGATGACCAAAAAGGGCTGAGCATCCCCCTTTCTCCTGTAGAGCCACCATCCCGCCGTATGAACCCTGGGTCCCACCAAGTTCAGATCCTCATCTCTCAGTTATTAAATCAATTCAAGAGGTATGGCTCACATTACAGAAAAACCAGTAGGGGACACCTGCTTAGGGTAAGAAAAATCAAGGCGAGTCTCAGAGGCCTTCAAGGTAGTGAGTATACTCTGGGCAGACAGGTGGCTCCTGGAAAGGCTCTAGGATCGATGTAGCTGATGTAGCTAATGTAGCCGAAGAGCAAAGGAGGCAAAAGCAGGTAAGACACTTTCCACCCCTCCCAGTGACCACCCTCCCTGCTGGTCACTGCAAGGAATTCCACAAGGAGTTGAAAGTATGGGATTGGGGGTGGGGAATGAGAGAGTAATAAGGAAGAGGGATCATCTGCGGAAGAGGGTTCCCTGGGGAGTCAGACGTCCCCCAACTCCCAGTCTGTGCCTGGAGGCCCCAAAGCAGCATTCTAGTATCTCCTAGATTGGGTCTCCAAGTAGGCAGTGGCAGGAGAAGCTTTGGGCTCCCATCTGCCATTTCTGAGCTCTGGGACAAAGTCAAGGCAAGCACCCTGGGAACCTCAGTGTCCCCATCTGGAGGGTAGAGATTATGTTGCACAGTTCAAGATGTCACCACCATGAGCAGATCACACAAGGGCCCTGGCAGCTGCTGCAGTCACAGCCAAGCCACCTGCTGGGGCCTGTAGGAAGTCCCAGCAGAGTCCTGATCTGCTGTTCCTGGTGGGGGGCGGGGCAGGGCTATGGATCCTGGCCAAGAGAGCCCCCCCCCCCCCCCCCCCCCCCCCCCCCTACCCCCCAGGGAGACCAAACCTGTCCTACACAAAGGCAGCCTGGAGGCTTGACACTGACAAGAGACCCAGAAAGTGACCCCACTCCTCCGAGGCTTGAGGGTGTGGTACAGAACTTCTTTCCAATGAGGTTAGGGTATGGGAGACCCCTGCCCAATTAGGAGATCTTAGTGGCAACTGAGGCTCCAGCCCCCATTTGCACACAGTAGGCTTTCCCTTCCCTGTAAGTCCAGCTAGCTCGGGACTTTTGCCTTGTGTGTCCATTCCTAGGGCTGTCTGTCTGGCTGCTATCACAGGTGTTGACATCTGGGGAGCTCCTGCCCGGCAGCCTGTGGAGGCCTTGGTGCTTGCTGTTCTGATCTTGGTCTAGATGTCAGCCTGTGGGCATTGTTCTGGCCCACCAAAGACAAGGGTGAACTTAAGTGGGCCACCTGTCAAACCTAAATGTTGATCCCCTAACTGCAACCTGAACGTCCTTAGCTCTCAGAGCCACAGAATGAAGCAGAGCAGGAACCCAAGGGGTCTGCTAACAGGACCCTGCCCCACAGGTGCCAAGCAGGATAGAGGGGACATGCCTCTATAGTCTAGACCATGTGGAACATGATCATACTGCCCCCCAGAAGTAAGGCTCAGGCTCAAGGGTGCAAAGTAGGCCTCTAGTTTTCTAGGAGTCCAGGGAAGCCAGTGTGTGCCTCCTTCTAGCCAACAGAGAGTTAGGAAACCACACTGGGAATCTCCAATCAGCTATTCACTGAGCAGCAAGCCCCAAGCCCCCTTGGTGGCCTGGATTTCCCCACTGACCTCTGGCTCACAGCAGACAGGGCTGGGAAAGCAGGCTTCCTCCAACCCCCTGCTGCAGAGGGTCCTGCCAGGAACAGAACTAGGAACATAGGCTGATTAGGACTTTCCCTTCCAGTGAGTCACCAACTGCCCCAAATAGAGGCCAGCAGAATTCTTCTGATGCCCACCTGACACTGGGAGGACAAGAGTGCCAACCCACACTCCATCTTGCCCAGAGGCCCTGTGGGACTCACCCAGCCTCATGCCTGGGATGCCTAGTCCCTCTTCTGTGGCCACGAAGGGTCCCTGGCTCCTTGGGCCAAGTTGTGAGTTCCCTGCCTAACTCCTCTGATAGGGGGCTCTTGAGGAAGCAGCTGCTACTTCTGCCTTCTCACCAAGAAGGTGCAGCAGAGAGGGGCTGTGACCTCTGACCATCTGCCTGGATCTTTACCATGTAGGGAGGTAGTGATGGTCATGCATTCGAGCTGTAACCCTCTGGGAAGGCCTGTGCACAGGCTGAGCAGGGAACAATGTTCTCTCATGTGGGAAAGGACTGGAGTACCCTTCCTGGGGAATAACAATTGCTATGTAAGCAGAGAGGAGGAGCCTGAGAGCCGGGGCAGTCCCTCTGGGTCAGGTTGGAAGGTGCCTACTGGGGCCCCTCCCAAGATCCAGCTCTCTGACACAATATACAGAAGATCACAGGCCAAGGGACGCTCCATTTCCAACTGTTCCCCTCAGATGAAGCCTACTCTGCCCTTCAAAAACAGATGTTTGTACCTTTTCGGGCCTCAGTTTCCCTGTCCCCTAGTCTGCCTCTGATGGCCCACACCTGTTCTTACTCTCGGACTGCCAAGGGAAACAGCACCTTCTCAACTCCCTCCTCCCAGCAGAGGCTCAAGGAAGGGTCCAGCCGGCAGGCAAGGAGGGAGGTGGCCAGGTAAGCAGTGAACAGAACTAAATTTTTCACTTCTCCCTCTTTCTCCGCCCCGACGAATCCATTTTCAGCTACTCCCCCCGCCCCCATCCAGCCTCCTTCCAAGAAGGTGGACGCAGGTCCCTAGAGGAGGTAGCTTGTTACTAGGCCCTTATGGCTCCCGACTCTCCTAACACCCTAACATGAGGCAAGGGTCCTGCGGCGGGACTACTTAGCCCACCTGCAGGCTCAGCCAGAAGGGCAGGCCTCAGGAGAGTCTCTAGGTACAGAATCACGTACCACCTGCTCTGCAAGGGACTGCCCCGGATGGCCTACAGGTGTTCCCCTACTGTAAAAACTTTGCCTGCCCGCTCTCTCCCACCCCCCTCCGAAGTTCCCAGATCCTTAGTAAAGAAGCTTTAACTCTTTGGCTAGGGCAGCGAGAGATCCAACACCAGAAGAAACGGCGCCGGCGCGGCTTCCGCGCTCACTCCGTTCCCATCCGGGAGGCCAACAGGTTCCAGCCTGTCCCGGTGGGGGGGGGGAAAGGAGCTCCCGCCCCCTCCTCAGTCAGCGGGCACCCAGGCCAAGTCCCGCCCACGCAGGGATCCCGGACTTAGGCTGCAAGGGACTGATCATCGGTCCCCTCCTGCCTAGAAACCCCCCCCCCACACACACACACCCCGCAACCCGAGCTTCACCGGCCCCCGGGGCCCTCGGTCCGCGACTCGGACACTTCATTGGCTCTTCCAGAGGCACGTGCAGTTTCTGCACGAGTTTCGGTGACTGCGTTGGGGTCCCTCTTAGTCCTTCAAAACATGGGACCAGTGAGTTCTGTTGGGAGAGTCGGTACTTATACTCTCCGGAGCACAGAGGGAGCCCTTAAGAGTCAGCTGGGTTTGGGCGCTACCGTAGGAACACCGCAGGATGGTGTAACCAACTCCTCCTCCCCGCGCTCACCTGGATGGTCTGGTTGGGATCTCCGCCGGCCACCGGACCCCCAACCAGCTTGCAGTATAGGTCCTCGGTGGGGCGTGAGGCACTGCGCGTCGGGGCCTCCTCTCCGCAGGTCGCAGACGCGGTGATGCGAGCGCCCTCCGCCAGGTTGAAGTAGGGCGGGTGCAGGCTGAAGCCATCGCCCCCGGGAGTCCGCGCCTCGCCTAACAGCGCCAGCCCAGCCAACAGCAGCAGCAGCAGCGGCGGCGGCGGCGCGGGGCTCTGGGAGCCACAAGCGCGCGGTGCGCTCCCCGCGCTGAGCCGCCCTCCGGGCTTCGCCATCTTCCTGCTGGGGTCAGCGGCTCTAGGCACAGCGCGCGCCGCAGGATCCCGGCAAGTCTAGTTTGGAGCGGCCGGCTCGGCTGGCCCCGCCTGTCAGAGGACGTCAGGCCCCGCCCCGGCCCGCCCTGGCGCCCGAGCCTTGTGCCTCGGGGAGGGGGTTGGGGAAGGGCACGAGGGAGGGGGCAGCTTGGGGACCTTAACCCTTCGGAACCCGATCAGACCAGAGTCCTGCTTGGGACACCTGCTGGCCCGGTGCCAGGCCTTAGGAACTTGGCGCTCCTGGGCCTTTCCTCTCCCCCAGGTCGTGACTTCGATCCCTCGGGAGACCCCTGCTTTTCCCCTGGATGCGCAAGACCCCAGAGGCAGCCAGGCCTGCCTCTACCCGCCCAGCGGCTCCCTTTTTTGTTTCCCTTACTTCAAACAGGTCTCAGCCACCTGGCGCCTCCCGGTTGCCCCAGCCTGTTACTCCCTTCCCTGTTGGTGTTTGTATAAACTGTGTGTACCCGTGGGTGGGGACTCAGAGGGGATGTGTTCTGAAAATGGTCGGGAAAAGACCAGACAGGAGGAGAACCACCCTGCTTCCTTCATTGTTAGGTCAGATTTAGCGCTGTCTACCCCTTTTGGCTTTAAAATCCTCTGCAATAGGGGGTTAGTACAGGAGCAAATGAATGGCACAGGGGCCCACCCATAGGGCATTTCCAAGGATGCTCATTGGCCTATAGGTGCCAGTCTGATAGGCTCCTTGGGAGACTTTGGTTACCCATCTTTTGAGCAAGCCATGCCTCTGGCTGCTGTGTTCCTGGACTACAGTGGGCTGCAGTTGATCTGCCAGGCTCTGAGCCCATGCTGCTAACACTGAAAATCCTAGAAACTGAGCTACGATGATTGAGTGCCTCATTTCTGCTTCCAGCCACAGCCACTGCCTCACCTCCCTTTGGATGCTAGGGCCAAACTAGTCTCCAGGAAAGCCTCGAGGGAGTAGGAATGGGACACAGTCTCCTAGCCAGACCAACCAGGCCATTATCTCACATTGTGGGTAGGACTTCCATCTTGCCGGGCCACCAAGGATTCAAGTGAGTTCCTGACACACTGGCCATCATCGTGTCCTGGCAGGGTCCTGCCCCATAGTTGTTAGGAAAGGTTGCACCACCTTCCCAAATCTTAAACTGCGAGGGAGGGGCTGTGAAGATCCCTGTCTATAGTTGAGAACGTGAGGTCAAGACAAGCTGCCCTCCCTGGATCCTTCCACTTTCCCTCCCCGGAATTCCTCTATAGCCTCACTATTAATTTTCCACCTGGAGGAGGGCAAGGCAGCCGCTTCCCTTTGCTGCAAAGGCTTGGTGTGGGGGAGGGGCTGGCCCCAGGGAGGGCGGAGACTGGGAGGAATCTGGAATTCAGTAGAGTAGGCTGGGAAGCTGATTTATGACCCCCGTGTGAGGCACAGCTGGGGCAGTAGCAGGTTCCCAGATGGCTGGCCCCACCCTGCTACTGCCCAGAGGTCCACCATGCCCATCAGGAGGCTGTTCCCGGCTCTATCCCCTTGATAGCTGGGGGTCCTAATAGCCTGAGGGTGAGAGATAAAGTACTAAAGAGTGACCGCCAGGGTTTGGTAACCTGCTGACTTCATGTGAAATTTCTTGAGGGTCTAGAGGGCAAAGGTTGTACCAGGACTCCTCTGAGCCCCCTAGTGGCCAGGCCAGTTGTACTTTGGATTGGTCTCAGAAGACTGAAAGAGAGGGGTAGATGCCTCAGAATGTGCTGAGTCAGCCCAGCAGCCAGCACCGGGAGGGTTAACCCCAAGCTAGCTACTTCCCAGCAGACAGCTGCCCCAGGAGCAACTGGCAGGGCGGGTGATGTGGGCAGAGGACACTGTGGCACAGGACTGTTGAGGTGTCCACACTCTGCCCCTACCCTGTGGCAGCTGGTCCGCCTGGGCCAGGAGGGAGCAGCTGGAGCTGGGGAGTGGAGTGGGAGGAGCTACCCCAGGAGCGTGGGGTGGGAGGTGGTTTTCTCTGACCACTCCACCTCTGTGCTCACCCCTCCCCCATTTCCGATGACCAGGTCCACTTCTAGTCACCACTACAGTGGCCAGTATCTTCCTTCCACTTCCTTTGTGTCACAGGCAACCCAGCCAGTTTTCTTCCTTGTGGACAGAGAAACTGAGGCCGGGTGGACAGAGGCAGTCAGTAGCACACAGTTCTAAAGAGAGAAGGAACTGGGTCAGCTACTTCTGTTCTCAGGCATATACCTCCTGGGATCTTTTCTTTACCAGCCCCCAAAGCTAATCCCTTTCTTCTGACAGGCCAAACAACAGCAGAGGGTTCTGCCCTGTACCTATGGGTGAGGATACCTACAAGGTAAGGAGTAAGCTGGCCAAGAGAGGGGACCTGTGTTAGGAGTAATCCTCACTGAAGCCCAGGCTCAGAGGAAGGCCAAGGGGTCAGCTGCAGTTGATGGGGAAGAGGTTGGCATATTTTCTCCCAGCCCTGGCATAGAGTCCTACTCCAACAGCATTCCAGAGGTACACATCAGCCCCTGAGCCATTCAGCCTGGGGGCAGCTGTTGGAAACAAAACGGGACATGAACCATCTGTTGCAACCCTAGAGGTGCACCTTGGGGGCCCCTGGGAAACCACACAGAAGACAAGGGGATACCCCCTTGCTTACACTCAGGCACGTCACTAGGCATCACAAGCAACAGCAGATAGGCCCTAGCCCTGCCACACCCTGAAAGAGAGCTGGCTTTAGCTACTTTTTGCTTGGACAAGCCAGAAGGAGGGTCCAGTTCTAAGGCCCAGGATGTGTGCCTCCACAGGGACAGGCTTGGGAGAAAAGCCAGTATGGAAGCCCCATTCCCTTTCTCAGGGCTGCTCTGAGGCCCTTTCAGGGAGCCAATAGTGGAACCTCTATCCCTGCCCATGGAACGCAGCCAGGAGCCAGTGGCAGGGCTGTTTCTGGCAAGCCACTGTCAGCAAAATCCAGCTCTGTCCTCCAAAGATTCCATCTGGACAGATGCCAAAAGGAGTCACAGGCCTGAGAAGCTGACATCAGGATGTCGTAAACCCAAAGGGCTGCATCTGGTCTCTGTTGGCCATTGCTTGGCAGAGTAGCACATCACGTCCCTCCGTCAGCACTGTGAGACCCAGTCCAGAGCTGAGAAGCATGGTGAGCTGGAGGTCAGCAGGCATGGTAGCCTAAGACCCCTCCCCACAGCAGCTACCTGACCTAACCTCCCAAAAGGCTCCTGTACCCACAAGGGTGAGGCTGAGGGCTACTAGACCTCTCTGGCCTGGAAACAGTCTCTGGCTGCTTTTCACACAAGGACGTCTGCCCTCATGGTTCTTTAGAACCTTCAACCCTGGCACCATGAAGATATGTGTATACCTGCATACAGGTACAGTATACTGACTCATTACCATAGGAGGAACCTAAGAGTCCAAGCAGATCCAGAACCTCTGTAAGCACTGAGCTCTGGTCCCTGCCCAGAACCCTCTGTAACCACTGCAAGCCTGACCCAAGGCAGTCACTGCTACATGGGTGGAGACCTGATAGGTGGGGTAGACGGTGGCTCAGGTCCCAGGCTTTACACAAGGCTCCTCAAGGTTTCTCTCCCTCTTCTCTGTGGGTGGGATGAAGGTGTAACCTTAGCTGGATGCCTTGCAGAGAAGGGCACACTTATAACAGTTACCTAACCCAGAGAGGTCTGTGTGCAGTGGTTAATGTGATGCTCAAAATTCAGGGTTCAGAGAGTGGTAGCGCATGCCTTTAATCTTAGCACTTGGGAGGCAGAGGCAGGTGGATCTCTGTGAATTCAAGGCCAGCCTGGCCTACAAAGATGGCCAATGACAGCCAAGCTACACAGAGAAACCCTATATCCTACCACCTCCCAGATAGTATCCTGAAAAGCCTGAGGCTCAAACCTGTAAGGAGAGAGCAAGAGGGATCTCTGAGCATAAAGGGAGATTGATAGCACCCAGGGATGCTGCGCTCATCCCCAAAGCTGCCCTGTACCCCCTCCCAGTACCAATGCTCCAACAGGCCCCTCCTTGTCCTGGCTGGTCAAACTGGCTCCCATGTGGTAGGTGGGGGTGAGGGCCTGTGAGAGGTGCCCACAGGCAGCCTTATATGGGCAGGAGGCCTTACGCTCAAGAGGAATGTTCTCCAGAGAGTACAGCAGGGACAAGGCTTCCTAAGCTGTTTGACTGCTTCCCATGAGCATAACCCTGGCCTTCTGGCCTCGGCCCAGCAGAAGAGCCACCCAACAGGATTCTCACCAGCTTCAGGAGGATGGGGTCCTTAAACTCAAATTGTGCCAGGTTTTCTGCACTGGCAAAAGTCAGAACTGGAGGTCAGCCTACCTCACGCACACCCATCAGCCTCTGCTCTTTGCTGAGAGCATCTGCTCCATCTTTCCTAACACTCTTCACTTCTCTCTGACTTGCTGGGTGGGTTACATTCTCAGGCTGCTTTCTGCCTTCTCTCTTTGTCTCTACATTCACCTTTGTCTATCTCTATTTCTGTTCATCTGTTTCTGTTACAGTTTTCTATCTCTCTGCTTTTGTCTGTGTTTGTCTCTGTCTTTGTGTCTCTGTGTCTGTCTGTCTCTGTCTGTCTGTATCTATCTGTCTCTGTCTCTCTCTTTCTCTCACTCTCTCTGATACTCCATTTCCCTGGCCAGTGCTTCCCCAGACCTGTCAAACTCAGCAGCAGGGTCTGGTGTGGCTCTGGCAGAGCAGGGCTGGGCTGGAAAAAGGGCCAGCTGGAAGGCACAGGTAGCCCAAACCCCCAAGCTGACACACCCTAGTTCTGAAGTTTCCATAGAGCTGGCCCTCCAGAAGCTTCTCAGGCCTACAAGTGCCCCTGCCCTGGCCCCAGATCTACCCCATGTCTTCTGGGAACCCCTCCTCACTGTCCTTAGAAGCACTTTATCTTTTCCCTAGCTGTGCCCTGAAATCATTCCCCACCTCAGGGCACCCAGAGCCCTCCCGCAATCCCTTACTCAGCACCTTATCTGTGATATTTCGAGTGGCTCAAGGCC